TCATCATAGTTATTGTTTTTACTAGGAATGGAATCTGTATAGCTCCTAAAGATAACCTGTTTATCTTTAATACTTCTTATGTATACCAAACTCAGTATTAATGTTTTTGCTTGTGTTCTTATGAAATGCACTAAATTCTACAGATTATCCCAACATAGATGGAATTTGCTTATTGATTTCAAGAAATCCTTGGCTTGATACAAAAAGAACTGGATATAAAAATTTTTAAAGTAGAACTCTAATCCAAATTTTCTAAGTAAAACCACTTTTATCCTCCAGAAAAAATACATTTGATTTTAAGGTAGATATCTGAAAAGAAGATGAAAATCAAAAACCTTGAGAGCCTCCTATATTAAGATCTTAATTCTGACAGGAAAAACATTGTATGTTTTTCATTTATTTATATCACTGGTAGCTTAAAGGTAGAAATAAAAAAAATCGTTAAAACATACACGTACATATGAAGAAAAAGGGATTGAAAATATTAAATGCAAGGGAATATGTTGAGTGGTATCTTAAAATCAAAAAGTGATGAATGTTCACATATTTTGTAAAGTTAACTCCTGGAATTAATTTGTTTGATTTGAGATAATTCTAAATGATCCAGAACCAGGATCCAGCATAGTACTTTCCACTTAGTAAGTGCACAGTGAAAGCTTTGTAAAAATTGAACTATTAAATTTTCTAACACTGATTTATTACTTATCTTTTCTGATAGATGATATGTCTATATTCTAGTAATACATGTCCTAGGATTGGTTGATAGTGAGGTTGAAACTTAATACTTTAAACATTTGGAGGCTTATAATCATAGCTGACATACTCTCATATGGTGGCAGAAAGATTTAAAAGGAAATATAAATGAAAAGTTACTTCTGGTATTTTCCACTTGATTAAAGAACAAACTTACATTCTTTTGTCTTAAGTTTTACTCTCTTTTCTTCCTGCTATTAAGGGAAAAGCTTTCAGCAGCAAAGGGAAGCCATGAAGCAAACCATAGAAGAAGACAAGGAGCCAGAAAAATCAGGTTAGACCCTTAATATTTGACATTAACGAAAGGTTTCTTGGGTCTTCATCTGGAACTATGTTTAAATTTACGTATCAGGAGGCGCCTGAGTGTATCAGTCGGTTAGGCAGCCAACTCTTGATTTCAACTCAGGTCATGATCTCAGGGTCCTGGGATTGAGCCCCGCATTGGGCTCCTCACTCACTGGGGAGTCTGCTTGAGGATTCCCTCTCTCCTTCTGCCCCTCCCCCTGCTCATGCTAGTTCACTCCTTCTCTCTCTCTCTCAAATCTTTTTTAAAAATTTACGTATCAGTTAGAACTGTCAAAAAAGATGTATTCATGGTAAGAGTGATATGAGAGGCAATACTAATTATCTTAGAACTCTAAAGAAAGGACAAGATATAAGAATTAAAGATCATCTATAATGTGAGACTAATGGAAAATTATAACTATTTCACTGAAAAATAGTTCTATACAACAATAAGTGTTTATAAATTTAAATGGAAAACTGAGTTTTCAATTTGAAATATGTAGCTTTGTTCAAGGAAACAAGTATCACGTTTACAGTTATGCCTTTAATTGTTCAACAGGAAAACTATGGTGTGCAAAGAAGAATAAAAAGAAGAGGAAAAAGGTTTTATATAATGCCAATAAAAATGATGGTGAGTTCAGGCACCGGGCTGGCTCAGTCAGTTGGGCATCCGCTTGATTTCCACTCACGTCATGATCTCAGGGTTGTGAGATCAAGCCCCGAGTTGGGCTCCTCACTGGGCGTGGAGCCTGCTTAAGATTCTCTCTCTCCCTCTCCCTCCGCCCCTCTCCCCCCCACTCCTGCTCTCCCCCCCCCCAAAAAATGATGGTGAGTTCTACTCTTAGATGCAGCTGGATTTATATCTGAAAAAGGTCCATATCTAACACTTGAAAGAAATTAAACTGCTGTTTTCAGGGAGTTACATTTCTAGTCCTGTTTTGCTTCTTAATGTAACATATGCTTAAGAAAGTCATTTCACAGGAAGTATTTTCTTTTGGAATCCTATGAGTAGTGCAGCATTTTGAACTTAGAGAAAAACTGGCATAAAAATTAAAGTACAGTGTGGCATTATATAGTGTTGTATTGATAGTTTTCTCTGTTTTTCCTACTTAAATTCTTTGTGAAATTAATACATACCTCTAACAAAATCTAACAATATGGTTGTATTTTAAGTAAAAATGAGTATTTTGTCCACAATAACTCATGTCACTGAGGCAACCCATTCCACAGAACCTGCTACCTGCTGGCTGAGTCAGGCACGTACAGTTTTTTGTTTTATTACTAAAATTAAAAAAAAATTTTAAGTGTAGCATCTCTTCTTATCAAAAACTCTAATAACACGGGGTTTGTATTCCTAAGTGGCAGCAGTCTGCTGGACCTGAGTGATGACTGTTGTCTTTTAGTGAGAGAGACACACTTAGTTCAACTATCTTAGTTCAACAGTTTCCACCACATCCAGTTATTATAAACTCAACCTGATTTTACTGCTTTTCTCAGTACCTTCTTGGTTGGTCCTTATGTGCATTAGAATTTGCTATCCCTGCTTTGGTTCTTGTCAGAAAGAAGCCAAATAAATAAAGCAAAGGCACTCCTAACAATTTATAAGGCTTATTCTCTCAATACCTTCAGATATTTTTTTTAGGCAGCATAAATTAAACATGAAAATAAAATGTTACAGATTATTAAAAAATTCCATTTAAAACTAAATCTGAGATTCAATCTACTTTTTTTCCAAAATAAACATCCTTAATACTAATTGAAACATTGTATAGCTAAGATTTATTGAATTTTTAATCCTTTCCTCTGTATTTGGGTAAGTGATTAATATGTTCCTTCATTCTTTGAAACACACTAAATTGGTTCTGCTCTAATAGCTATTATGCTACAGAAAACCTGCAAATCCGAAGCTTACAGATGTATAACTAAGTCTTTATAAATAAAAGTGCTGGCATAATCTGTACATGTTACAAGAAAGAACTCTGATTTTTCAGAGGGCACAGCATTTTGGGAAGGGCAGGAATTACATTGCTGTTCATAATGGTGTCATCATAATGAATATTTTTATTAATAACAACTATCATTTATAATAACCATTCTCTTCCAGGGGCAGTAACTTTATGCTTTAGATACCTCATTTTAGGTCTCACAATAAATTCCTTGAGATTATAGATTAATAAATTGAAGTTCAGATATTAAAGATCTGCTTAAGTTCTTAAAGCTAATAGAGAGCTAGAATTTAGACAAATACAGTTTGAGTTCCTACTGTGCACTCTGTGCTAAGCACGGGCAAGACTGAGATGATTGCCTGCCCCCAACGGAACTTACAGCTGAGTGTGATTATACATCTGTGCTCCTTCCTGGTCAGGGGAAGTAATAGGAGTGGGAAGATGGCAGGCTGCTCGTTGTCTGGCTTTGTCTCTTACCACTTGACAGCTCTGATTTCATCTGGATTATGGGCTTTAGGAATGTTATCCCACCTGTCACAATTTATACCTCTTGTTGAATCGTGACCTCAGGTTAGTATTCCAAGTTTGGATAGCACAAACTGATTTCAAGTTCTGTAATCACAGAAGAGTGTTCCTACTTTCTCTGATAACACTAGTTTGTAGCTACTATTTTAAATATTTGTCTATGCCAGGAATTGTGCTTAGCATATATATTGTGTCTGATCCTTAAACCAACCCCCTAAGTATAGTATTAGTATCCCCGTTTTACAAAAATGACAGACCATATTCTCATTAGTTCATCCCCTGGTGCCCCACCCTCTGTCAAAGTATGGGCTGCCAACTAGCTATTTTACAGCACAAGCAGTACAAGTAGTTTTATTGTATTAAAACATTCAAACTACAAAAAATGAGAAGCAATAAACGCTTCTAGAAGGATTAATACATCGTCTGATTTATTTTCATAGTATTGGGAAGTATATATTGATATTGGAAAATATTCATATAATCCTACCCAGTTATTACTTACCTTGATTCAAAAAGTTAAGCGTTTTTAATAATAAATTGTGCTTCTTTCCAATTGTTTTGGAAGATCTATATCTTTATAACATGGCAATCATTCTGTCTGAAGGGCTTAACTTTTTCTTTTTCAAAGATTATGACAATGAAGAAATCTTAACTTATGAGGAAATGTCACTTTATCATCAGCCAGCAAATAGGAAAAGACCTATCATTTTGATTGGTCCACAGAACTGTGGCCAGAATGAATTGCGTCAGAGACTCATGAACAAAGAAAAAGACCGCTTTGCATCTGCAGTTCCTCGTAAGTTGGGATGCATTCTCATTTTCCTGTGCTTTTCAGTTGACCACCTTAGAACCTAACTGGAGGGAAATTTTTCATCCAATTCATCAAAACAGTTTTGCCCAGGAAAGAGGAACTTTGTTTTAATAAAATCTTTTGAAAATTTTAACTCAAGATAGTGATTATTGAGAAACTTCAGTTTTTCCTATGGTACTAATTATTTTCTAAATGAATTTCAATTTGGGCTTCTTACAATTCCCTGTTCAATATGGAATCAGCTCCTGGTTTTTTAAACTGATGCAGAAGACAAAAATTTAGACCTAATCTCTGAACATAGAAGTTCTGTTTAGATTATATAATACCTGGGGGGTGGGGAGGATTAAAAAAAAAAAATCTTTGTGGAAATAAACTTTAGGAAAAGATGAGTGGCAGTGTTTTAAATGTCAGAAGTAATTTAAAGTGTAAGCATAACATGTGTTAAAGCAATTAAATATAACTATTATTAAGATATTAAAACATTTTTGTTCATTTCTCAGTCTAGAAATAAAATGAATCAGTGTTAAACACATGGGCTCTTAAGATTTCCTCAATTCATCTTTTTACATTTCATCTGTATTACAAAATTGAAATTTTCCCTGACTAGCAGAATTATCCCCCAACCTTACTCTGATCCATGCCCATTATTTTTACCTGATTTTGTTTGCCTAGATACAACTCGGAGTAGGCGAGACCACGAAGTAGCAGGTAGAGATTACCACTTCGTATCACGGCAAGCATTTGAGGCAGACATAGCAGCTGGAAAGTTCATCGAACATGGTGAATTTGAGAAAAATTTGTATGGAACCAGCATAGATTCAGTACGGCAAGTGATCAACTCTGGCAAAATATGTCTTTTAAGTCTTCGTACACAGGTAAATAAAGTTCTCATACATTTTTTCCCCCACTGATCCTCTATGTTTTTTAATGGACAAAAGAGCTTAGTCTCTACTGTTTCAGTTATAAACATTTGATTTAAGAAAAGTATAAATTACTAAATGCCTTCAGAATTCCTTATATTACTTGGGCTAACATATTTATCAAAGCACATTGTCTTAATAATGTTTTTAGATAGAAAAGGGCATGTTCCTGTAATCCCTGTTTTGGTAGAGTGCTTCAGTTTAGGAACACATGGTCATGCAGTGGCAAAGGCAGGATCAAAACCAGTCTCCTAATTCAAACAGTCTGCTTTCTTTCGGGTGTACTTTT